CGGAATGACCGGTCATTTCAGCATGACTTCGGGTCATTTGAAAATTAGTCAAATGACCTAGTCATTTGCCATCACTGTTTTGTTATGCTAATATCAACAATTATAAAATATATTTTGAAAATACAGTCTTTCAGCAATTGTCGCTGAATATATGTGATACGTTTTTGTTTTTTATTTAAATAATCCAGTGTGTCCTGGTCCTATTCAATAAGATTATTCTAAAATTATGTTGGTAAAAATAAACTTCATTATACAAAATATTTATCAATTGCATTACAGGTCATAATTATATATTACATTCAAAGTAGGTGGTGGCTCATAATAAAAATATGAAAAGGATGAAAATGTTTTAAAGAGGTTGCAAAAATATAGAAATGCTGACAAGGATAAGTTTATTATTATTTAGAATGCAAGTACATTACGTTGAATAAAAATCTCGCAAAGGCCAATATTGTTCAAGGATCGACGGATAGTGGAAATGCATGCAGATGCATTATTGCGTTATGCTTTTTATTTATTCGGTAAGAAAATAAAACAAAAAAAGTTCCATAATATTTCTAAAGTTCAGCGAGGTTTCAATTCTGGTCGGTTCGAGCTGGCTTGAAAACCTTTTCCTTTTTAATTTATACTTGACTGCGAAATTATTTGCATTGATTAATTCTCATAAATTTATTGATAAGAGAGATTTTTTGTTTTACGCAAAATGCTGTTGGTTAACAGAAGATACCATCGAGTTAATAATTAATATCATTTTTCAAAGTAAACTCGTGATTTGTTATGGTAAAATGTTTTTGATAATTATTAAAATATGTAATAAAAGTTGGAACCGACCTAAAAAATATAAATTTTGTTTTTTTTTAAATTACTGAAGAAAATGAAGAAACAAAAGCAGATGAAAAGGAAACCAAATCTTAACTGGTTAATAACCAATTCATTAACCGGCTTAGACCAGGATTATAAATTTGTCCGGAGTTAGTAAATATTCTGCAACCATAAAATTCTTAACTCTGGCAGAAAAATGAATTTCTATAAAATCAACCGATTAAGGTGTAGTTGCAACATTGTATTGCTTCTCATGTGACGTAAAACTGCGGCAATAACTTTTTCAATTTTGTACATTAAATATATTTTGCATCTTAATACCTTTTACATTACTTAATATATTTTTCATCACTTATTTAGTCTATTTAGTCATTATTATTTTTCATAATTTGTATCATCTATTATTATAGAAAGGCGTAGTTTTGAGTATTAGACCAGAATTTTATATAAATATTTTATATAAATAGAAATATACGTGTAAGTTGACCATGAGTCGTCAGAGTTTTACTCAGTGGTTAAGATCAGTCTTATACTAGATTTATAACTCTACAGTTTTAATAAAGAAACTATTTTACACTTCACCTTCTTCTTGTCATCTGTATAAGTTGATCGTGAAAACTACACAAGTGAATCGTAATAAATAGTTTGTGATCCTCTTAGAAATGGCCTTCGAGATATTCGAGTCATTGAGATATTCTGGTTTGTTAGTTTGTTTCGGTACATTTCCAGGCCTAATACCGGTTAACATGTTAACCGTTTTAAGCGGTTCCAACCTTTAAAATAATAAGTGATGTTTTGCGTATATTTACCTAATATTATTTAATTTTAATCATAAATAATTACTTTTCTTGTTAATTTTTTGTTCAACCAATGAGATAATGCATTTTATCAATTTATTTGCTTTTTTGCAGTAATAATGGAATAAAAACTTCCTGAATTTGTTCAGGAAATTATTATTCACACCCATGATTTTGCTTTTCGATAACGAGGTAATCTAAAGAATTCTGATCCAAGATCGGTTGTTATACTGCTATAAATCATGAAAAGTAAGCGCGAGTCTGTCTGTTAGTTATTCGCTTTCAGTGACTAAAAATATCCCAAAATGAAAATCTTATCAATTTAAAACCAAAACAAGATAAACCCACAAATTAAATTTAATATAAACTATTAGATTTTATTATATTCCATAATACCAGAACATCTGGCTCTCCTCAACGAGATACTTCTTAGGATTATTCTCAGACAAAGAATCTCTTACTTCTTCTTCGTTTGAGATATTATTTACACATGATATGAGTAGTTAAGTTTATCAAATAGAGATTGAAACTTACCGAAATAAATTTAACTAGTTAACCTGTATTTTAATATTTTTGCCGTTCCATCTGTTCCAAATTCATTAAAATTATAGATTTGAACTTTAATGACATCACCAACTGCACTGTTTAGTCCATGCAACTTCGATTTTTCGGTTCATGTCACCCGGCCGGGTCACTTTTTCAAATTTTTACAAAAAAAAGTTTATATAACAAGTTTATCATGTGACTATAAAGTGTAATTTTATTGGTAAATAAAGCTTTGTTGTATGTATCATTCCTTTCTTACAACTCGTTAGTTTTCATGAAGCTTCACAAGCAATACATTGTGCTGAAATTTCATCTCTAACAAATGTTTTTGATGGGCTAAACTTCACTTCAAATTCTGCTTCCCACCAGTCAGGTTATAAATATAGAATCTATATATTTCCAAAAAATCTATATTTATTTCTTTCTCAACAGGTTAACCTTCCCAAACTTTAGAATTGTAACTTATTTTACGCTTATAATATGCATTTTGACGGAGTTTAGATGATTTTGAAATGGAATGTGATTGTCGATTGATTAAGCCGGGCAAAAAAAAATTTTGAATTTTTAGATAAAATTTTAAAATTGACACGGCCTCCCGGATTTTTTTTTCTTGTTAATATGTAAGTATTACACAATAAAGATAAATCTAATTAAATCTTTCTTTCGTCGATTTATTATGTAAGGTCACATGATAAAAATTTTACCATAAATAAAAATACTGTATTTTCGTAAACTGACACGGCCGGGTCATAGAATCTGAAAATAAACTTTGCATGTCCTTGTTTCCTTAAAAATTGACCAATCAGATGGCATAATATTTATATAAACATTTTTTTATTTATAAAAAATAATCATTAATAAACTCTGGGTCTCCGGGTCGATTTTAAATTTCAATGTTACGTGAACCGAAAAATCGAAGTTGCTTGGCCTTATGCTGACTCGTAATGTTAGAAACAATTGAATGATCAAAGCATCGAAACCCAGTCAGAATTGTAAGAGGAATTTTTGAGCGACATAAGTTGTAGAATCAATTTATATCGTTTATAACTCATCAAGGTTCTACTTCATTTCATCTCAACTTTTGCAGTAACTGTTAAGAGGATCACACGAAAGGAGTTGGCTTCTAGTGGGTATAATAAAAGCAGCTAGTAGTATACCATTACATTACTTTTGCACAAAAGTTTCACGTTATCTATGTGCTGTTTTCTTTTCTCTACAATCAAGGGTGAACATTAATTCGAGTTCATAATCATTTAGTTGAGTCTGGCTTCATTCCATAATGAAATTTTCGTCATTCCGATTTCGGTTCTACATACAAGTTTAAGTTAGTCGTTACTTTAAATAAATTTTCACATTTATTATATTAAATTACTAGCAGTATTTAGCATTAGGATTATTCCTTAAAATATGATTATAAATCATTTTTAAAAAAAAAGCATGTCAAAAACATAAATTTCCCCTGTGAAAAATTGTCCGGTGTTAGTTGCGAAATTTTACTCCGTTATTAACTTATCTGTATCATAATTTAGAACGAAACATAATTCTTTCGTTAAAATAGAAAATATCTGACTATTATCGTTATAATTCCTATAATAGAAAAGATGGGATGTATTAAGTTCTTTCGTTTATGTATTTATAAACAAGGCGAAGTGTGAAGATGTCCATGCAAATCTTTTAAAGACCTCAAATCCCAGCAGATTTATTTATATATATAAATTTTAATTAGAAAACCATGTAACCCTAACGGCATGTTATTCTAACATGTTCAAAATTGATCTACGCACAAATATTTTCTTTTCTGACAAAACTATATTAAATGTAAAAACACTCATCAAAGGAACTAATTGAACAATTAACCGATATATATTATTACATAATAATTGTTTTGGTGGTTTTAAATTTGCATTATATCGATACGTTTAAGAACTTTGAGATCCATTGGCGAGATTTAGGAGATTCACCGAAGAACAACACAAATAATGAAAAAAAGGAATTGTAATCATTAAAACTCGAATTTTAATTAACTTATTTAATCGACGTAATGATGATATAATATTGATTAACTTGCAGGATACATAAATATGATTATGAAATCAAGAACAAAAGGTTTATTTTGGTTACTCCAGGAATATTCATATTAAACTTATTATAAACGTTTCATTTCCTGTGAAAATTTCAGATTTTACTGAGCTTGTGACTTTTTTAAAAAATTATTGGTTCGAATTTTGAATAAAGATAAAAAATTAACCAATTTCTAAGTGTCGTTTACTAAAAAAGGTTAGAAGAATTTATGTCTCTACAGGTATATAGGTATATCGGTATATCGCAAACATGTATCGTTAATATGTATACTTTAAAAAATACCCTTTTGATTTTTTCATAAACTTGTATGTTTTAAAAAGTGTAGAAGTTAATTTTTAACTTCAATTAACCAGTTAAATATTTTTAGGCCCTAAAAAGTACAATATATTTTACATGTATAATAAAAGGACCATACTATATATGTATGCGATGCCTTAAAAAACTTGAAAAAACGAAAATAGATAACCGCGTTGAAAATTTTGATGGAGAATTGCGTAATTGTACGTGGTTGAGATTCGATATATGACTTTTTTTTAAGCAATGTAATGGTAATAAAAGATTTCATAAATTTTTATATAAATTTTTTGAATTATCTGTCTTTCAAATACTAAAAATATCAATACATTTCATCGGTAAATAAGCCACAATGTCTAATAATATTCGTCGTGAGGTTGCCCCTGATTGGAGAATTGTGACGGAATGTTTAAATATTGAGGGTAGGCAATAATATTTTTTGTCAAAATGTTTATCTAAATTGATCTTATAAAACCATTTTGCTTATTTTCAAAAGCCCATTGCCAAATTCATCCTGTCGAGCCTATTATGGAGGTTATATTCTTGTAAAATGGGATATCGCAATGGTGGTATCTTTGATTTTTTCCGTAATTAAAGGGACTGCGGATGTCCGATTTGTGGTCGATATGTGCAACCTCAAAACTTTGGCTTTTACAACACTTTCTATAAGGTGGTTGGTTATAAGAAAGGAAGGTCTGACATATCATATCATGTGTTGTCATTGAATGGCAATTTGCTACTCGTGATCATTATACTGCTTTCAAGAATATTAAAGAGGACAAGATATATTGGGGTAAACTTGAAATTAGAATGAGAAGTCCTTAAACACATTTATTTGTAATTAGGGGACAAGACCACAAAATATTATTTTAAAGTGTGTGATTTTTTCGTGTTTGGCGGTTTTTATTTTTTGTCAAATGTGGTGCCCAAAATTACCATTCCAAATGATAATTGTTCAATGCGTAGGTACGTCAAGGCTTAATTTTTGTATTATGGATAATAATGTTGGTATTATTAAATGGTCTGACATTTTTGAAAAGATAATGAGTTAATTTTGAAAGCCACGGTACTTCCGACCATTTTCAAAAAATAACATATCGTTATGTTCGGAAATGAGTCGAGTACAATTTTTTTATTTGCCATGGATGGCATTTTCGGATCCTTGTTAATGTTCTCGAATATTATCTGCCGTCCTGTTTATTTTGAATTAGCTGAAGATAATAGAAAACCATATCGCTGACAACATTTACACATATTATATTTTTGTTATATATTTTAACGGTCTTTATGACAAAAAAAAAAAAACTTTAAATACGTAAAATAAAAACACTTTCGGTCATAAATACATCGCAGCTATTATATTTTTTTATTATAAATATTTATAAGCAAATTAAAACAACTATTGCAAGCTTGTTATAATTTGGAACTTGTAATCTCGAAATTAACTGCGTCTATTACATCCAGGAGAACGAGAAGAAACTAATTATAATAGGAAATACAATACTTGTAATCTCAACGAACGAATTACATTTTGACCGAGAAAATCAAATATATCAGTTCTTAATAATCGAGATAATCGAAGGGTTGCTTATAATATTAATATTTCTTTGTAAGCATTACAAGAATTGACAACACAAAAATTTCTCTTAAATATTCCAAATTGTCCTAACAAAAATATATATGAAAGGTTTTGTTCAAGATCGTTCCTTTGATATTTATTCAGCACATTTTCTTTTCCCTCTCCTTTTCAATTATATTTCCTTTTTAAAAAATTTATTTATATTTATATTTTATCTTATAATTTTCTTTTTGTTTGTAATTTATTAGCATTTACTATCTGTATCAGTTGATTTAATAAACGGAATTTTCGGGAGTGTGGATTAATTTATCTAAATCAAATTGCTTACTAATTTCCTTGTTTATAAAAAAACGTAAAGGAACTATAGATTAACTCGTTCGAAATGTGACCGATGCAATTGCGTAATAATATATATAAACTATAATAAACGAACGAATACTTTTTTATTCTCCTACTGCACCTAACGACCAAATAAAGTGAATCTTAAAAAAAAAAAAAAAAAATTGTAAATACATTATATTCGTTAAAAAATGCAATGATGTCAACATAAGTGATTTATTTCTTATTTTGAATAAAATTTTATCATGTTTTATTTATTATTGTGAATTAAAAGTGCATTTATTTAATAATATTTATTCTACTTAAATTAATTTTTTTTTATATAGCCTGTATTATTACATATGCAAAATTCATTATCTGCATGCAATAATAATGGTATCGGGTTATAAAAGACCAAGATGAACAAATTTTTATCGATGGGAAAATTGCTCAACATGTCATAATTGTAAAAATTTACATGAAATTAAATTTAATATCAATTTTATTATACATTACATTTTCCATAAATAAATATAAGTGTAAACTATAAAAAAATACAATCGAATAAATTACTGCCATTGTTTTTAATTGAATAAGTAAATCACGCATTAAAGGAGTCAATTAAATATGAAATCACAATAATATTTTATCACGTTTACTTTTTATTACGCAACTTGTCTTTCCGTCACTTGATTTTTTTAACGCTAAAATATTATTTACGTTTTATATTCATCATGCAAAGGTTTCCATTTTTTTAAAATTCTTAACAATGGTATTTCAATACTTGGCACTTCTTTAGGAAGAACGCTTATTTATTTTAACGATTATATGCAATTATCTGCATCAGCCACGTGCTATTTTCGTGATATATATTTGAAAATGAAAGTCAGCAAAGTCGGCTAAGTTTGTTATCGGTCGGTTATATAATTAAATAAAAAAAAAATACAACTGAAATTTAAATGCCGTTAAAATTAAATAATTCCGCCCATAGAGCGATATTTTCGACCCACGTATTGTCCATTTTTAATTTAGTTAGGTTTTTCATGATGCCAAAATGTCGCATGGCCAAATTGTCCTTATCTAAAATTTATTATATATACTATGGGTTTTTCTTGGGGGATTGTTCAAGTTCGTTTTTTGACTATACACAAGAAACATTTCTCTTAACTCAATACCCTAAAATTTTTATATTTCAATTTATTAATTTTATACTATATTTAGTGAAGTAGATCGTCAACGTTGAGGCAACAGTTGATTAATTGTTTTATTGAATAAATTTATATTATTATTGCTCAATTAAAGACCTACTGCGTTATTAATACAATGTAAGTGCAGACATTAACAATACAAATAATTATTCGTATATAAAATATTGTTGTCCACCGGTTTGTCAAAATATATTGACCGATATCAGTCACCGTCATGACCATTGAACATTAATTATTATCTCTGAATAATTTGAATATATTTGGCATTTAGTTGTTTTTTATCTTTATAAATGTCTATTAAAAAGATTTAATTTATCAATTAATTTCAGAATAAAAATTAATTCAACTACTAATTAGCTCATTTGTTCAATTTGATTTTTGCATATTACAAAGGGTTGCTTTTCTGTTTAATAAATAAAATTTAATAGTTTACTTTTATTACCTAACCTAATGCATTGCACAATTGTATTCAATACCAGAAAAGACGATGGTTCAGATGAAACCCAAATAAAAATATTAATAATAAAATCAACTTCGGTAAATATATATCCGTTTGTTGCAGATTTTATTGTTTACAACTATAACTTTAAACAAAGTTTAAAGTTAATAATGTTTGCATAGCATATTAAAATGATTAGTTAGTTTTATTAAAATATAATGTAAATTTATATATTAATTGTGGATTCATACCTCTTCAAATCAACTTCTAATTGACACTTTCAATATTTTCCAATATATAGAGTATTACTTTGCCCGTCTCACTACTTGTCTTTAGAATCCAATTATTCAGTTCGCAACTTCCACAAATCCAATCTGCTATATAAATTTACATCATCCATCCTCATTTAGTTGATTATTTATCAATTGTCGTATGGGATTCATTCAATTATTCCAAATGAGTGGTCTATAGTTTCAATATGAAATATCTTCAATAAAAATTACAGATTATTTACAGATGTCCTACCTGACATTTTATTTTTATAATTTTAAATACAATGTATAGTATGTTGCTAATATCTGTATACAACTCTCATAAATTCTGTTCTTCTATAATAATAACTTTGTAACTCAAAAATAATTATTTATAAAATTTCAGTTTAAAACCATGGCTAGTAAAACTTCTAATAATGATAGTTTACTAAATTAAATAATTGCTCAAATTTAATTATTATTTTATAATATATATCTCGTTTCTCAACAATTAATTTTTTATCTTCAACATTTACAACTCTACGATTTTAAAAGTTTTTAAATGGGTCGCTTATAAATTATGAACTTAATATAATCTTGTCAACAATTTGCTCGTCTCTGAATTGTAAATGCAGAATAAACTGAAATTTATAGCATGATTTTCTAAAACAGAATTAAAAAAACAAATTTATTTTGCTCTTTGTATCGCAAAATTATATGGAAATTTTCTGTAATTTATCTAATTTTTCCTTATCACATAATCACTTTTGTAAATTTAATCATTCGCGGATTAAAACTAGTTTAAATAGTTACAAACATATGTGATATGACCGATTAGACAGGCACACTTCCACAAAAAGATGTTTATTGAGTTATAATCCGGACGTCAACACGAAGAATGAATCTCATAAGCTTAAAACAAAAAAAGAATACGATGACTGATTTATCAGATTCTTGGAATTTGCGTTATTTTTTAAAAAAAATATATATATATGATTTTATATGATTTTTCCAATAGTTTCATACAATTAGTGAAACTATGATTATTCATTTTGTTAACTTCAAGAATATGATGGGAAATTCAATTTCCAAAAGTTTTGGAAAAATTTTAATCCTACAAGTTTTACTTGTAGTTTAAAGCAATAAATGCACGTATTGAAAGATAATTCGATTTTCAAGATTTTATTTTTTTAATAAATACTGGTAAAAATATTTGTTAAGAGTTAATTAACCGGTTAAAATTAACTTATGCCAGCACTATAAATTTGGGCGAAATTAGACTATATTTTTGACAATCATAAAAAATCTTAATTCTGGCCGGTAATTGAATTATGGTCGAAGTTAAATTCTATTTTAACCGGTTAAAAAAGCCCGGTTAACATAACCGTTTTAACCGGTTAACCGGTTCAACCTCTAATTTGGAAAGAGGATGCGACAATCGTGACATATTAAAAAAAAATAGATCCGGTAAAAGTAAAGGTAATGAATGTATTAAATATAAAAAAATATTTAAAAAGATGAAGGAAGGAAATTTTGCTGGAAAAGGAGTTCTCCACATCCTAAATCAGGGGAGAAAACTGACCTAAAAAAGAAAAGGCATGATCTGAAGTTATTGCTGCATTAAGCGAAAAGTAGAAATGATTTAGTAATCTTACTATTTCATGAGCCTAAAGTTGTAATCTAAAGGATTAAGTTGATTATCTTGAATAGAATATGGAGTCATGTACCATTACAAAATTTATCTAAAGTCATGT